ACACACACACACACACACACACACACACACACACACATCGGGGGTCTCCACTCTCGGTGGGGCTACTTGTGAGTCGCCGTGATGTCAAGCGCCAAAGACGCTTTGTTTCATTAGGTGAATATGGGTCTCCAGTAGATTTTTCTCAAAGTTTGAATAAAGAGAATAGAGTACAAATCTTGCTGTCGTTATAACAAACAGATAAGCAATGAATTAGCCGTGGAGGTCTTGGGCTGAGAAAAGGGAAATAAGCTTAAAATTACGTGAGTCAAGGCAGTGAAATCAGGCGAACGTCAAAATAATGAAATTTTTGTAGAAACTGACATTTTTCCAAACGTTGGACATTTATGGCCTTTTTTTATAGACTGAACACCTTTTATATCAATTTATAAAATCATTTACGTCCTGAGTTTACTGAAAAACATTGATAAAAGACCAATAAGATAGAAATGTATTGTTTCCGAGGACACTATAGCTTAGGAAGTTAGTAAACGTTGATGGCCATTTTCACGTTAATTTTTACATCTGACAACTGGTACCTTCCATCTCCTTCACTTAAAAATATCTCAACTTTTACAGAAGATAGGTGAGTATTTTTTACATCAAAAGCAAGCCAGATTACCAAGCTTTAAAATGACTCCAATAACTCAATGAGCCCAGGAACTGACGAGTGCATGGTTCCTCGACATCAGGACGCAATTATTCAAGTTATTAAAAGAAATAATTTTGCAATACCGATTTAACAGCACTGTTTAAAATATACACGATTTTTTAGCAAGTAATAATCAAAAGGCATGTCAGCAAACAGGAACCGAGGAGTGAGGGTTCTCAAACCTTATTATATTCCCCTTTTGCAAAATGTTAGTTTCCATAGGGATATACAACGTCGCAACCTGCTAGCCACTTTACATTGTTTATTGTCCATATTCCTCTGCCTCTGGACTTCAAAACTTACCTTTGTGGAGGTTGGCTGTTGTTCTGGAGTTCTTTGTTCCTTCTTTCTTATCAAAAATTCTTCGTCCTGATCTCCCCTCCTTATTTTGCATGTTTGTTGCTCTCTTGTAATATCTCTAACCGTCGGCACTCATAAGACCTAATGTGTTGCAAGCGCTACAAAAAAAAGCGAACTAAAACAAACAAGTACTTACCACTTCCATGCTGTCTACTTCGATCACCTGCAAGTCTGGGTCAGAGTCATCGGCCAAGTCCGAAGATCCCATGGCCACGACTAAAGTCCCTCTGCAGAGAGGAGGGGGGAGGGGGACATTTGGCATATCAGGTCGTTCCAGCTTAACTCCTGCTGTTGTTGGTGGTGGTGGTTGTTGTTGTTGTATTGGTAGTGGTGACAGTGCACATACGCACACACACACACGTACACACACAAGTACTCACACACGCACACACACACAAGTACACACACACATACACACACGCACACACACACACACTTACACACACTTACACACACTTACACACACACGCATACGTACACACACACACACACGCGCGCGCGCGCACGTACACAACACGCGCACGTACACACACACACGTACACACAAGCGCACACACACACTTACACACACGCACGCACACGCACACACACGAACACACACGTACACATACACACACACACCCAACACACACACACACACA